CCCGCCTGCGGCCGCGCACCGGGATGCGCTCCATGAGGCGCCGCTTGATGCCCATGGTCATGGTGGTGAGGGAGGAGGGGCAGGAGCCGCAGGCCCCCGCCAGGCGCAGGTACACCACAGGCCCATCAATCTCCACAAACTCAACGTTGCCGCCGTCCGCCATCAGGTAGGGCCGCACCTGGCGCGCGGCGGCGAGGTGGGGGCGGGCGGGAGGCAGCGAGACGGGAGTTGGCGGGTGCTGGTGCACGCGTGGAGCGGGTGGGGCAGCTGCAAGGCCGAGCAGCCAGCCAGCCCACGCCTGCCTGCGCCCGACCCAGTCGCAACCGACAAGCCACGTCACCACCCACCACCCGCCACCCGCCTCACCTCGTCCAACACCGTCTCCACATTCTCCTCAGTCAGCTCCAGCGTGTCTGTGGCCGCCGCCTGGCACACCGCTCCGCTGCTGCCTGCGGCAGGCCCGAGAGGGACAAGGTTAGCACGGCGGCGGGCAGCAGCGGCGGCAGCGGTGGCGGCGGGCATCGCAAGTCCAGGCCTGGAGCCCCGGGGCGTCCCGCCCACGCACCTCTACGTGCTGCCGCTCTCCTATGCTGCCTGCTGGCGGCGCGCAGGGGGCGGTTCCAGGAGGAACGGGCCGAGGGTTGGAGGGTCGGGCTGGAGATGCGGCCGCCCCTGACCATCGAACGCTGCGCAGCCACGCAGCCGCTGCTGCAGGTGGCGCTGGAAGCGGCGTGCATGACTGCCTGGGGTGGGCGGTCAGACGAGAGTCAGCCCTGCTTTCACTTTCGTTGAGTTCTCTAGGTGCAGCCGGACTCCAATGAAGAGGCAGTATGCCGTGGCTAACAGTGCGAGCCCGATTAGGTGAGCAGGATAACTGCATGCTGGCATCTGACTTGGCGGTCTGCCCGCCGCAGCGTCACCTACCGTCATTTTGTAGCATGCACAGGCCCATTGGCGCACTGGTAGCCTGTGGATCGTAGTAGCGACATCAGTTCAGAGGCAACCACGCAAGGGAGAAGTTAAGTCACCGCAACTCGCCGCAAGTCGCCGCGCTCTGCGGGCTGGGCGCCGCACGTCGGCACGTCGAGTCGGCGACGGCTATGCGCCTCTTTACACAAAGCCTGGGGGCTCCCCCAGTATCTAAGCGGGGGCCGCTTCAACGAGCACTACGCAGTGCAGATACTACTGAGCAGGGTGGGGGTGCGTCGGTTGTTGTAGAGTTTGCCGCCGGCCTCACGCCGACGCAAAGCCCGGCGCTGGCGGCGTCGCAGCGCCGCTGCCGCCGCCGCCGCCGCCGCCGCCCAGTGAAGAGACGGGGATGGGCGGCGGGCGCCAGTTGCGAGATGAGGGGCGGCCGATGCCGCTGCCCTCCAGCACTGGGTCGCCGCCGCCGCCGCCGCCGGCAAGGGACGGCCCGGCGCCGCCGCCGCTGCTGGCCCGCTCCTGCGCCGCCGCCAGCAGCGCGCTGAAGCTGGAGGCCGGCGCCGCCGCCTGCTGCGCCTGCTGCGGCGCCGCGCCGCTGCTGCCGCTGCGCCCGGCGCTGTCGCCGCGGGCGGGCGACAGGCGGCCGGCGATGACGTGGGGAGAGTCTGGGGCGGGGGCCACTGCACAGGACAGGGGGGCAGCAGCCAGCAGGAAACATGGGTCAGGTGCCGCAAGGCAGCACATCTCTCGGTTGGAATCCACCACAACCCAGCCATCGAATGCATCCAACAGAATGCGAACCCTAAAGAGCAGCCAGCGCGCCGGCAGCGCCCTGCCTGCTTCGTAGATGGATGCGGCGGGGCGGGGGCTCTTGAAGCTGCCCGCGCGCTGCTGCGCAGGCGCGCACTGCTCCCCAGGCCCCGCCTCTGCCTGCTGCGCCTGCTGGGGCGCCGCCGCTGGGGCGGCGGCCGCCTGCGCGGCCGTGCTGCCCTCGACCGGTGAAGGCACCCTCACCGGGGACAGCGGCAGGCCGTCGCCGCCAGCTGCCGCCGCAGTCCGCGGCGGGGTGGCGGGCGAGGCGGAGGCGGGTGTGGCCACCGCCGCCTCTGCGGCAGGTGCAGGAGGGGCAGCCGCGGGGGCGCCCAGGGCTGCCGGGCTGCCGGTGCTGCCGCCCGCGCCAGTTGCTCCTGCGCCGGCGCCGCGCTGCTCCCAGGGCTTGGGGCGCGGCTTGAGCCTGGGCTCGGGGGGTGCGGCCAGCGGGTCGGGCGGCTTGTCGTTGATGTCGGTCTGCGGTAAAAGGAGGGTGGCGGTACAGCAGGCGTGAGGTACGTGTGTGAGGCACAGACGTGAGGCGCAGGCAGTTCCAGCAGGGCTGGGTGCCGGGAGAAGGAGGCAGCGGCGGGATGGGCGGGGTGGTATCAGGACAGGAGCAGCAGGCAGCGGCTGCCGAGCGGCAGGAGGGGGGCTGCAACCACGTGCCGCCGAGCAGCAGCAGCAGCCAGCAGGGCCGGGGGTCCCCTCCGCGCCGCGCCGCACCCGTATGCCCGGCGGCGTCTGCCCCCGCTCCAGCATCTCCAGAACTTGCAGGTAGCTGGCTGGGTGGGGAGGCGGCTCCACACCAGAGGAAGGAGAACGCTCCAGGCCCGCGCCACCTGCCTCTCCGCCCTCGCCGCCGCCCAGCGCCTGCTGCTGCTGGTGGCTGGCGGCGGGCTCGGCGGCGGCGCCGTGGGTGGCGGGCGGCGGGGGGGCCGCTGCGTCGCCATCCTTTGTGTCCTCGGCTGCCAGGCTGGCGGCATCGGGCGCCGCATAGCCGCGCAGCTGGTTGGGCGGGGCGGAGGTGACAGAGAGCGGGGTGACCGGCACGCCTGCGCCCGCCTCCTTGCCTGCAGGCGGGGGGCAGGAGGGGGAGGGCGGCAGGTCGCGGCGGGATCAGCTGCGGGCCTGCGGGCGCCTGGACCCTCCTGGGGTGGGGTTACAGGCGGGCAGGGCAGAGCAGCACAGAGCAAATGGCAGGCAGGTAGGCAGGCAGAACACGGCGGGAACGCAATGAAGCAGGAACGCAAAACAAAGGGACCAGCCAATGGAAAGTTGGGCAGGGCAAGCAAAACGGGGCCGGCCGGGCGGCTCTGGGGGCGCCCCCGCCGCCGCCGCTCAGGCTGCGGCGCTGCGGCCGGCACCTGGGGAGCGGCTTCCCGAGGGGCTGCGCAGGATCTCCGCCAGCAGCGCCTTGATCTCGCCCAGCTCGCTTTCCACCCTGCTGGGCACGCCGCCGCCGCCGCCGCCGTCGGCCGCCGCCGGCTGGGGCGCCGCCCTGCGCAGGCGCACGCACGCAGGGCGGCGGGTGTGGAGTAGAGCAGGCATGCAGCAGGAGCCTCGCCAGGCAGGCACACCCAGCAGCCAATCCCCGCCCCCACCCCACCACCCCCCACACACACCACGCCGCCCACCCGTGCAGCGACTCTGCAAAGCTGCGCAGCTCCTGGCGCAGATCAGCCGCCGTCAGGCCGCCGTCGCCGCCAGGCGCCGCCTCGGCCGCGGCGCGCTGGCTGGCCTCCAGGCTGCCCGCCAGCTGCTTGATGCTGTCGATGCTGCTGCGCAGCTCGGCGGTCTGGGCCTGCAGGGGACGAGGGCAACGGGGGCGGGGCGGGGCCGGGGCGAGTGCGCAGCGTGACCAACAGCACAGGACCGGGCGCCTGCAGCAAGCACATACCCGCAGGGTAGCGCCCCAGGTTAAAGCTGACAAAAGGCCCGCACCTGGATCGCCTCTGCCACCGCGCGGGTCGCCTCGGGCGCCAGCTCCCCACCCTCGGCGCCGTTGACGCGTGCCGGGCGCGGCGGCGGCCGCGCCTCTCCGCGCAGCTGCGTTGGTGGGAGGCGGCAGGAAGGGCAGCAAGGGTACCCACTGGGCTTCGAGGGGCCGCCGCGCCTGCCCCGCACCCGACAGCGCCCCACGCATGCGCCCCACGGCCCCTGCCGCCAGCAGCCAAGCGCGCCATTAGAGCCTGAACCCAGCTATGCAAGCCTCCGTTCCCAGCTGTGCAAGCCCTGCCCCCACCAGGCCCCCCCACCAGCCACCCGCCCATCCCACCGACAGGTAGGCATCCTCCAGGTAAGGCCACAGCAGCGCCTTGGCCGCATACGCGCTGGCGCCCAGGAAGCCGGCGCCCAGCACCACCTGCGGCCGTGTGTGTGTGTGCACAGGTGCCAGGGTGGGGGCAGGGGCTGGATGCACGTGTAGGGCAGCACGGGACAGGCACGCACACCAAGCTGGGTTGAGAGCGGCGTTCCAAGGGCGGAAGCCGGCGCTGCCTAGCACCCACCTGCGTCCAGCGCACGCCCTGCTGCTCCGGTGTGGCCGCCTGGTGCGGCACCACGGCTCCCGCCTGCGGCGCCGCCTGGCCATTCGCTGCCTGCTGCGGCGCAGGCGGCGCGGGCTGCAGGTGCTGCAGCGTGGAGTGGAGGACCGCCGGTGGCGCGGGCGCGGCGGCTGGTGCGGGCGCGGCTGCCGCTGCTTCGGGCACGCGGCGGAAGGCCTCCTCGATCTCCGCCTCGGTCAGGCCCTTGCGCTGCAGGAACTCGCGCTTGGAGGAGACGGCGCTGGCCCGCACCTGCGTGAAATGAACCAGGCGTGACGCGGGGTGGTGCCAGGGCGGGAAGCGGCGGCGGCACGGCGGCACGGCTCGCCGCTGGCAGCGATCGGGCGTCCGCGCGGCCCACCTTGGGGTGGCTAAGGAAGGCCACCGCGTTCTGGACCTGGTCCTCGCGCAGGGCGACGGGCTCGGGCTGGGGAGCGGGGCTGGGAAGGGCCTCGCTGCCTCCGGGAGGATCCTCCCTTCCCTCCCCGCCATCCGACATGCTGCCGCCGCCGCTTCCTGGACTGCGAGGTTGCGGAACGTGTGAATGGTGCGGAAGTGTTGGCGGCAGGGCGAACGAGGGCCGCAGGATGCTCGGGGGCCAAGGCTGGTGCCTAGGCAGCCTGGCGCAGCTTGAATAGCCCCCCCTGAGGGCTTTCCAAATTAGCTGAGCTGGCGCTGCCGCCGCGGCGGCCGCCGCCCGCATCGCCCGTGGCGCCGCCCGTGGCGCCGCCTTGTATGTGCTGTCCTCCAGTGATCATTGACACCAAGATGTGTGGCACACTCACAACAGCAGCTCTGCTCAGTGATGCTTGTTGGATTGTTTGAGAACTGAATGCTCACACTGGGTTGGAGAAACGTCGACAATTGGCATGACGCTGCCGCCCCGCACCAACTCGATGCAACCCATTAGAGCAGCTCCAATCACAGCCTCGAGCAGATCTAGCGCTGCACAAGGTATGGCAATCCTCCCTCACGATCTGGACTGTGATAATGCAGTCTGCCCCCTTGCAGCCCCCGGCCGCTGGACGCGGCGCCCCCGAGAGCATCGAGTCTGCCCCCACTGCCACGACGGCATTGAAGATGCCCCCCACATGCTGCTCACCTGACCCCTTTACGCCCCGCTGCGCCTCACCTTTCCTGACCTGTTTGCTGAGCCCCATCCTCCCCACCGCTTCCTCCGCCAGAAACCGTGCCGCCTCGCCGCCTTTGCTGCCGCCTGTCACCAGCGCTGGCTGACCGCCACCGCTGCGCTGCCTGCAGTCCCGCCCTGAACCCCCACTCTCATGTCCACCCCCTTTGCTCTTACCGCATCACACCTGCTCCACGACATGCAGTACTGTCTGCCCGCTCACACACTGAACGCTCGGTGACCTGTCAGTTGGCCTGTCCTGCCTGTTGTTCTACTGCTTCATCCCTCCTTGCTCGAAAAACAAAGTCTGTGCTGCAAGCTTGTTCTTGCTGAAACCAGACTGTAAGCCCACACAAGCCCTGTGTTACAGTCACCCCGCTATGATAGGCCGCGTGAGCAGACCTTGGGCAGGGGGCACACGTGATCAAGGGGCATCAAGAGAGGGGGTGGACCATGGAGCACCCTCTCCATGGCTCCGACCACCCTCCCCCCAGCTGAGCGTCCCAGGGTCACCCCACCCTGGCCCCGCTCCCCGTCCTGCCGGACACGCAACCCCCACAACGTGGTGGGGGACGTGGGGATCCTTAGCAGCTTAGGCCTGCCAGGCCGACGGGTGCCGATGCTGGTGCGGGCTCCCGGCGGCAGGCAGCGCCGCCGCCGGGCACTCAAATGGCATGGGGCAAAAGGTAAAGGTGGGGAAGAGCCTCCACAAGCTTCACTTCCCGGTTTTAACGTCTAGCTTTAGACCATTATTTGATCTGCCCGACGCGCCAAGTGCAGTACCCCCCACTAGTAGTGAATGGGTCCCGGGGAGGCCTGTGCCGAAGCCTTGGCGATTCTATTAGGCGTTCCCGAAGGAATTGGCTTGGATTGGCGCTGAGCCGGTCAGCTATGCCGCGTTTGTCCTCACAAAGTTTCGACATGGGAGGAATCGAACCTGTGCCCTCTCGGAGGGTTTAGACACTAGCTCCAGCGCCTTCAAAGAAGGCCTTTCTTAGCCGCGGCACATGGGGCCCCCATGCCCGCACATCTCCCAGGCACATGAAAATACCAGAAAGCTGCACATGTAAGGGTGCATGCATTGCAGCAGGAGTGCAAAGTGGCCTGCCGCGGCGGTCGGC